CGCAGCTACACGCAGCACGGGCTAGGTAGTTCGAACTAAAGCCCCTAATTTGGACTACTGTTACTCCTCCTGCAATGAGGAGGTGCATCCTGAAGCCAAGGCATCATTGGGGCCTCCGAGCTCCTTGGCACAGGTTGCTTGTTGCAATTCCAACTTCTGCCAACTGGCTGGGGGCAACCAGTCTCCAGTCTGGGCCTTAGGCTCTCTGGTCTCTGCAGTCAGAAGATGATGCAGCTCCCAGGATGGAGTTTCCATCAAGCATCTTTCTTTTCCAGTGGTCGGTGGGAAACGAGCTAATGCAGCATTTGGAGCATGCCCAGTCTGGTTTAATGGGCAGGACCTCCTCCTCCTCCAAGCATAGTGTGGGATTAACCCTTTCATGCTTCGAGCAGCATATGCATGCCTTGTCACACCCACAGAAACCAGAATGCCTCCGTTTTATATATGTAGCAATTAGGCTGCCTCACAGCTTCCTTTCTTGTCAGATATGGTACATGTATGAGAATTTTCTATATACCTGTCTAGACAAGTAGCAAGGCAGTCCTTTCTTACTCTTCATTAAGGGCCTGATCTCATGATATGTTAAGGGCACCCATGATTTCAGGTGGCAGCCAATTAAGCAAGTGTCATTAGGCACAGTGATAGCATGTCACCATAGATAAAACTTATGTGAAAAGTGCTAAAATTTAGATCAGTGACAGACCATCACACTTAATTTTGGAGACCTGTGTGCAGAAATACATTATGAAACCAATGTTCTGAGGTGCTTATTTTTGATAGTTTACATATAAAGAAGGGAAGGTGGTAAATTGGCTTCCCTGTGGGCGCAGAGCTAGTATAGTGTGAAGATAGAGTAGAGTCCTTATATAAAAAGTGCATTTCCTGGTTTTTGTAAAATTGAAGGCATTATTTAACTAAAAAAATCTTGATGGAAGCTCTATATTCATTTTACTACTGATGCATACTCATGACCTTAACTTCACCTTGTGGTTTGTGTGAGACTTTTGAGAAGTGAAGAGAACAGAAAGCTCATTACTGGTCTAGTGGATAGTGGGAAGCAATACATGTAATATATCTTGATTTTATTAAGACTTTTAACATGGTCTTTCATGACATTGTCATAAACATGGTAGTGAAATGTGGCCCACCTGAAAATAGTATAAGAACAACTATTTCAAAAACCATACTCCAAGTGGAGTTATCAATTGTTCGCTCTCAAACTGGGATGGCATATCTAATGGGGTTCAGCCTGAGTACATCCTCGCTCCGGTTAGGGATATAAAATGTTGATTAATTGGCTAATCGAATGGTTGGTACAAATTGCATCAACTATTCAATTACTTGATAAGGGCACCTCCGCCTTTGAAGTGTAGCAGCAGGCCCAGAGCTTTTGCTACACTTCAAAGGCAAAAACGATACGGGGAGCACAAGGCCAGTGGGGGCCAGCTCCCCACAGCGTTTCAAAGCGGCAGTGCCGCATGGAGCCCAGATTCAGCGCGGGAATCCCCAGCTGACCCTGGGCTCCATGCAGCACTGCTACTTTGAAATGCCATGTGCAGCCTGGGCCAGCCCTGGGCTGCACGTAGCATTTCAAAGTGGCAGCTGCTGCTTTGAAGCACTACCTCCTCTTCCCCCACCCCTTTGCTGCCTCTTTCTGCTAGAGGCAACAAGGGGAGGGAGAAGCGATTAGTTGACTAATGTGTCGGCTAGTCTTTCACATCACAAGCTCCGGTATTATTCAATGTTTCATTAATGACTCGGCTAACATAGTGGAGAATATGCTTATAGAATTTGGATGACATCAACCTAGGAGGGGTTGCTATAATCTTAAAGGGCAGGATTAGTATATTAGCATATGCAAAAAGGTTAATATAATTCTGGAGTGTATTAACAGAAGTGTAGTATTTGCGACATGGAATACCATATTTTAAAAGCTTCAGGGGGGTTAGCTGAGAGAATCTGTAACTGGAAAAACTTAAAAACAATGAATGGTCCTGCAGCACTTTAAAGACTAAGAAAACATGTAGATGGGATCATGGGTACGGGTTGTACCCACTAAAGTGCATGATACCATCTACATCAGGGCTACTTAACTTTGGAAGCCCTGGGGGTCACAATCCTACTCACAGCACATGGCGAGGGCTGCAAGTGTGGTTGTATAAATATGCAAATATATATGCAAATAGCTTATTTCGCACTGATGGGCATGAATACAAGGATTAAGGCAAGAGTACACAACACACAGGCCCCATTTAAGCCCGTTCTGCAATATTGACCCAATTTCCACCCATATGACAGCACTTTTAATGAGCAATGACAGTTCAGGAACTTGACTACTAAAACACATATCAACAGAAGACTATTATATTGAATTGCTGTTGTGGAGCGTGTTCCCAGGAGAGGCAATGTTCAAAGGATCTCACCCATGGGCTGTGTGTTGAGCCCCGCGTAAACCAAAGCCACTGCGGGAGGCTGCAAACAAACGGGCTTTAGGCTGCACAGGGCCTGCTGGCTGCGTGTTGATTAGCCCTGATCTACATGTCTTGTTAGTTTTTAAGGTGCTGCTAGACCATTCATTTTTTGTAAGTTTTACCATATTTTAAGAAAGATGTGCACAAATTGGCAAAGGTCCAGAGAAGAGCAGCAAAAATGATAACTGGTTTAGAAAACCTGACCCTCAGGGAATGATTAAACAAATCCTCAGCATATTGAGAAAAGACTGAGTGAGGTGGGACTTCGTAACAATCTTCATATATATTATGGGCTGTTATAAAGAGGACAGTAATTATTCTTTATCTTCACTGAAGGTAAGACAAGAAGAAATGGGCTGAATCTGCAGTAAGAGGGATTAAATATTAGGGAAAAAAATCTTTCTAACTATCCAGATAACTAAGATCTAGAAGAGTTTCCAAATGAGTTGGTGGAATCTCCATCACTGAATGTTTTTATGATCAAGTCGAACAAACACCTGTTAGGGATTGTTAGGGCTTGCCACCACCCAGAACCTTTTTGAGGTTCCTTATCTGAGGTCCCTATATTTCTGTGATTCTATGATTTTAGTTCTCTTTTTCATATCTCTTTGCCTTAAAATGTAGTAGTTCAGATTCATTATAAAACATAATAGAAATGGTGATATAAAATACACTGCTATGTAATATCAAAATGCCCAATTACAAATAGTTGAAAAAGTCTTTTGCATAAGAAGTGGGGGTGTTCTTTGTCAAATTCCAACCAAAATAATTACACTCTACTTCCCTAAAATTCTCTTTGCAGCCATATCTGGATACAGTGTTCTTCAGTTGTGTTCTAAAGTCTTGCATGATGGTGGTATATAGTTAAAACAGTTGAGAAGTTCTTTCCCAGTTACCAACATTTCACTGCAGATCAAGCAAAACTATTTAAAAGGAAAGACATAACATTTTGAGAATAAAAGGAACAGAGGAAATGTAAACTGTTTTCACTCTTGGCTCATGATCTGTTTTCACTTACATTATTTTAACTGGGTCCTACTTGCCTGAGCTGGTTAAGCTTTTTTGATTTGTTTCTTCCTCAATAATTTTATTGAGCTGCATATGTATAAACAACATAAATTGTATTTCTCTCTTGGGTGGGCAGGGAGAAGAGCGATTCTGTAGTTTTACGATTTTGCCAGATGTCCCTGGTTTTCTTTCCATCCATCTTAGGGTTCACACATATGAAGGCAAGCAAGAGTATTTATTGGGAATTATGTCAGAAAAATGTCAGAATTATTTTCTAACAGAAAATGTCATTTTTGCAAAACCAGATTTTTCCATGAAGAAATTTCAGTTTTGCCAGAAAAATGTGAATTTTCTGATAAGAAATTCAAAATAACGCTGTCTTGCCTGCCAGAGGAACTCTTGAAAATTTCACTTTCCACCACAGGGAGAAAAGCAAATAGACAGGCAACTCAACACTTTCCATTTTGATTCTCCAGAAATGGATGTTTCCTAAAAACCCATGATCATAAAACATAGCTCTTTTATTGTTGTTTTTGTTTGTTTGTTTTCAACTAATTCAGGATAAAAAGTTTCAAAATACATATTTTTGATTGGGAATAAATTTCCATTTCTAGCCCATTCGGCAGATTGGTACCTTTGGCCCCTACTCACCTCCATGCTCCTACTTCTTTGCTGGGAGAGGTAATTTCTAGAGGAGCTGTTTCTAGAGGAGGCCACAGCCTCAGTTTAGCATCACACTTAAGCATGCACCCAGTGTTTGGTATGTCATAATACTTGTTGTATTTAAACAGGATCTATATCTGAGTGATGAAGTTAAAAGTAAGGGAGTATGCTGGTCAGACAAATCAGTCTAATTTATTAATCATATTCTGTCCCAGACAGCTTCTTCTTTCTTTCTCCCTGCTTAAATGAGTTTCAGTGTAGTAAGCAGTATTGCCATCCCCATTTGTTTCAAAATCATAGCCAGGCACAAACACCCCAATGAGAGTGACTTAATAAATCTTGAGATTTATTAAAATAATAAACATGGAGTGGTAGGAGGCTTAACTACACTGTTTGAAACCCCCTTTGAAATCTTAAGAGGAAAGGTATTTTAGGAGTGTAAGTTATTACTCTGGCATTGTGATAAAGTTCAGAGCTGAGGAGATGGTAGCACATAAAAGTTGGGGTCTTAACACGAGTGTCCTAGCCAAATTCCATTTTGGGACATTTCATTCTGCTGACTCCAGTTCACTGGGTTAAGGGATTCTTCTTCATTTCTTGTTGCACATGGTTGCTGTGCACTGTTAACAAGCTGCTATATTTCACCACAGAGGTAACTATTTCAGTGAGTAGTAAAATGAGATTGCCCGTGGATGTCTTTCAGTATATTTGTAAAGCAGTTTGGGATCCTCCTTGATGAGACTACATAGACAAGTAAGGAGGGGCTGAAGCCCATAGCGTCACCTCAAATTAAAGTCTGTCATCTGAACAAGCTTTCCCCCTTAAAATTTTTCCTTTCATCTCTCCCTCTCATTCTAGTCCCCTCTGCAGTTCCAATGATGCACCAGGTGAGCCGCACTGCCAACAGCATTACACTGTCCTGGCCACAGCCAGACCAGCCTAATGGGGTCATCCTGGACTACCTGCTACGCTATTTCGACAAGGTGAGTGGAGGGAAATGGAAATGAGACTGCCCGACTGTGAGCGTCAGTGGGGGAACAGAGAGAAGGGAGAACTGTGTAGGGTATGGGAAATCTCTCTAGACTGGGAACTGAAATGAGCAAGGTGAAGGAGGACACGCCCTGTTATGAATCACAGCCTGACCAAACCAGATGGTGTGGACCAGCAAAGGGCAGAACTCCAGTGGAGTTCATCCCTGGGATGAGATTAGATCTTTCAGAAGAGTTTGGGAATGCCACATTAAAAGGTGACAGAAGGAACCTGAGTTCCTGTGACACATCTCTTCCAGGAACAATCCCATTGTGCCCTTGCAGAAGAAATCCTATAGGACATACTGGCATCTCCATCCAAGCCTGGAGAGAAATCTCTCCCTATAAAAAAAACCTGCAGATGAATGCCAGGAACTCAATTCCTAGGGCTCCATGTATGTCACAGAGATCACAGAAGTCATGGATTCCATGACTTTCTGTTACCTCCATGACTTCTGCAGCAGCCAGGGAGGCTGAGCCCAGGACTGCCCAAGCAGCTAGGCCTGGGGACAGCCTTTCTAGCCACTGCTAGAGCAGCTCCACAGCCAACTAGTTGGACTGCCCCAAAGCCAGCCATATTTGACCATTGTTGGAGCTGCCCTAGAGCTGGCTGCACCAGCCACTACTCAGTGACCTCTGGCGGCTGATGTTGCTAGCATCAGAGATTCCTAGGGCACCCCTGAGCTGCAGCTCCCCCAGCCCTCCCGCTATAGCAGCATTTAGTCCAGAGTATTAGTATAAGTCATGGACTGGTCACAGGCTGTGAATCTTTGTTTATTGCCCGTGACCTGCCCATGGCTGTTAATAAAAATACTTGTGACTAAATCATAGCCTTCTCCATTCCCATTGTCTGTCCTTCCTCCAGCTGTAAGGGAGTCTTGTAAATGGTATTGCTAATTCCAGCACTACATACGCTGTTGCAATGGATTCTAGGAATGGAGTGGCTGAGTTTGATGGGCAGATGAAATAATGTCCCATGACAAGTTGTGAGGTTCTTGAGATGAATAGCATCTCACCAGGGCCGCATAGGAAGTTATAAAATCTGCCCTTGTCCCAGCCCTTTACACTCATCTTCCCTACTCTTACCCAAATTACACTTTTCCTTTTCCCTTACTACTCACTTCTTTTCAGATCAGGACTGAAGGGGCACTGGTGGAGAGGCAGCTGCAGGACGGGATTGAGGGGCATTGAACAGGGAACACAGGATTAGTTGCTGAAGAATGTCATCTGTAGGTAGGGTTTCACATTTGACATCTCCTCTGATTGGCCATTGGGTTGTAGGCGGAAGATGAAGATAACTCATTCACTGTGACCAGTGAGACCAACATGGCCACCATCTCAAACCTGAGTCCAGGCAAGATCTATGCCTTCCAGGTGCGAGCCAGGACAGCTGTGGGTTATGGGCCATATAGTGGCAAGATGTATTTCCAGACGCTGGTGGGAGGTAAGTGATGCACTTGCATGCACTCTCTAACTGATACCTGCACACACACACCTCCCACTGTCACATATATCCATATACACTTCCACTACCTCATGCTCCCAGATCTTCACACCCTTGCATTCCTGTTCACATAATACATTTGTATCCTGCTTTTCTTCATGCTTAGATACCTGCACAAGCTGACCCAGGCCTTCACAGATACATATTGGTATATGATCACCAACTCATATCAGCACTCACACAAACTTCATGCACCTGTATGCAATCTTGCACATACCTGTTACTCAGATTTCTGGTACATCTACAATCTCAGTTCCTTGCACTCTTGTGCACCTGCCTATCAGGACTGGAGTGTGTTAACAGAGCTAACTGTAGCAGAACCCAGTACCACACCACAGAGGTGTGCAAACAAAGCTCTGCAATGGTGTGGTGAAAATCAGGCCCCAGGGTATCTAGACAAAACCTGCTTTTTGGCAGGTTCACCGTCCATTCTCAGAGGGAGAAGTATATCACCTGTGACAGCTCTGGCCTAGATCAAAGGGATTGGGTCAGGGTGTCCCATTCATACATCACTTCTGTGAGCTGGAGGAAGGATAGAGGCTGACCCTGGGAACCAAGCCCAGGGAGCCAGATGGATTACACTAGGGTAACTGCTCAGGAGTCAGTGGATCCAGGTGAGCATAGCAAAGGGGAGGGAGAAGGGGATTGGAGGGGCTGTGGGATGTGCAGGGAGAGGCAGTGGAGGCAGAGAGATTGAAGAGATTAATAGAACAGATAATTGGTATAAGAGTTTCATTTGAGATCTAGGGGAGGCTGGTTGAAATGGTAGGAGACTCTGACAGCCTTTGTCCTCTGTGTGTGTCTGTTTGTTTCCCTTGCCAGGTGAGCGCTCAGAAATAGTTCAGGACCGGCTGCCACTTATTGTGGGCTCAGCACTCGGTGGTCTGGCCTTCTTGGTAATTGCTGCCATTGCCATCCTTGCCATCATCTTCAAGAGGTGAATTCCCTGCCCTCCTCATGCCCAGAATCTCTTTCCCAGCCAGTGGAACCGCTTCTCCCCTCCTCCCAACCACCCGTAGGGAA